CCCCCCTACCAAACAGGACTGTGCTATGTGACAGCACCTAATGGATAGACATACAAACCATTTGTCAGGTAAAACAGCTCTCATACATGTATCTCATCTGTTTATGTAGCTTTTTGGATGGAGTACTTCTTTAAGGCTGTCCTGCTATTTATAGTAGACTTAATACTGCTAATGGGAAGGTTATGAATGTCTAGTAATGTCATTGCTAGAAGGCTAGGCTATACGAGGTGGGAGACGGAAAGAAGGAAAACTGAAGGAAAAGCAAAATTATAGAATCTAGATGAACGACAAACTGCATCCACCTTTGCAGCATTCAGAGGGATATCAATGGCTGACAGTGGCATAGTGGTTAGCGCTTCTGCCTTTGGGGTTCCTTGTTTGAATCCTGGCCGGGTCACTAACTGCACAGGAGTTTGCATGTTCTCCCTGTGCTTGTGTGGGTGTCCTCCGGGTACTCCGGTTTCCTCCCACACTCCAAATACATGTTGGTAGGTATTGGCTCCTGTCTAAATTGGCCCTTGTAGATATGCATGTGAGATAGAGACCTTAGATTATAAGCTCCTTGAGGACAGGGACTGAAATGAATGTGCACTGTGTAAATTGTCAGCGTTATATAAATAATAATGATAATTTAACCTAACATCTGCCCTGGTAACAAACAGTGATAATGTTGGAATATAATACTCCTTTATCAAGTTACATTCCGTTTAGGGGTTATATCTAGGCAGTTTTGAAAGACACATATTATTGCAGCTGTAGTCATTAACACATAAATTAAAGTATTTTTTAAATGCAAGCAGTGTAGGTACATACATTTGACCAGGTATCAGCATCTGGCAGTCCCTGTTCAGCCAAACTGAGAGCAGAAGAGGAAGAAGCAGCACAAAGAGCCAATCAGTTAATGTTCTGACAAAGGCACACTCTCATAGAAGGAGAAAGCAAACTGACAGAGAGATGAGCTCATTACTGTGCTGGTTCTCCTTCACTGTCCAGGCTGGGGACAGGCCAATGACAGTCTGGGCTCATAGAAGTTAAATGATGCTGGCTGTTAATCAACCCAGACATCTGAGGACAACTTGAGGCTAAAAAGCAGTAATGCAGGAAACAGCTCCAGGTTGAAGGGGAACATTGCAGAAAAGGCTGTTATATATATTGTGAGGATTCGCTTCAAAACACACACACACATATATATATATATATATATATATATGACCTACCTATTTACTGAATATACTGAAAATACTGAAAATAAGACCTACCCCGAAAATAAGACCTAGTACTATTTTTGGGAATTGCTCAAATATCCGAAAATAAGACCTAGTTGTGACCGTTCTCAGTGGTTCCCCCCTTATGCCAGTGGTGGCATAAGGGGGGAACATGAAGAGCAGCGGGAGAGGCAGGAGAGCATCAGCGTTGCCAACGAAGCCATCGCTAGAGGAAGTGAGGAGGCAGCGGAGGGAGCAGAGCCGCATAAGCCGATGTTTCCTCTATAGCGCCGGCTCCAGTCACAGGCGGAGTGATAACAAATACACTCCGCCTGTGAAGAATGATAGTGAAAGTGCGCTTCGCTCATTCTGGCCAGCGATTGGTTAGCAAATTGCTCTTGGAAAGGTACGGCACCCCTGGTTGCCCTGATCACCATATTTGTGTACATGAATAAGTGTGGATTGTTGTACATTAAAAAAAATAAAAATAAGAACTACCACGAAAATAAGACCTAGTGTGTTTTTTTTTGAGCCAAAAAAATATCATTGGCAAGTGATTATGCAATTATGTGATTTAAGTGACTTCTCCATCCAACTATAGATTTATTTTCATTCTATTTATATCATTTCTTGTAGATGCCATGACCACAGTCTCTAGTTTGTGTCTCTGCTGGTATAGAAGCAAATGCAAGATATTCCTTGACTACAATCTTTGTCAACTGATGCATAGACTTCCACCCTTCTTTAATCAAAATTGCCAGATCGCACCAAGCTTTTTCAGTTCTTGATTTGATACTTAAAAAAAATGTATGTAAACTTTTAAAGTATTTATTATTTGATGGAAAATTTACATGTGTATGGCTAACTTAATTGACAAGATTGTAGTACAATGATGTTTACAAGAGTCATGCTTTATGCATAATATGGCCAGGCATAAAATAAGCTTATAAAGCTCCATGAAATGTTATTTTTTAAATGAAAAATCTAAAATAAGCATCTAACTTGCATGCATCAAACATGTTATATTTTGAATGAGTAGGGGGGCACTGTGATCATTCTAAAAACAAAATTTTAGTTAATGGTTCTAAGGAGAGATAAAAGCAACAACACACGTTGGATACAAAGAAATTTCAATAACCATGGATGTGCTCATTATTCTCAATCACAGAAATGCATTTACCTGTGCGTCCATCACGTTGGAAGTCCACATGGTACCATTCTCCATCATTGACCTTCTTCTGAACTGATTTTATTTTAATGGTTCCTGATCCCATGTCTAGAAGTAAGAAGAGGTGTCCATCTAGCATCTCAATGGCAAAGAAGTCAACCTTCACCATTTGGGGGTTCTTGGCATCTTTCTGGTGTCGAGGTTTACCATGGCTGAATAGTATTAGGCCATTGGGTTCTGTTGTACGGAAGTCAAAGGATATTGAGCCAGTCTTTTTTGCATTCCATTTTGGTAAAGAAATATAGGACTCAGGATTTTCAAAAGTGATTGGGTCAAGAGTTGCAACATTCTCACATTTAAAGGCGACAATACCATGAACCTTCATTTTGGTATCACCTTGTTTGGCAAGTCTTGACAATTCTAGCCGTACATCATTGTTTTTATACACAACCTAAAAATATAAAAAAAAGGAAAACCTTAGTTTTGCAGTTGACCAGACAAACAATATTGTAACAGCTGCATATCAGTCTTACATAGTGTCAATGCCAAATTTTATGGGGGTATACAAAAAAACCCCCCAGAAAACCCTAATTGATACCTTCAGTGAAGTAACACACTAATAGTCTCTATCTTGTTAACAAAACAGGAACTAATGCCAATGTACTGTTCTTGGTAAACTGAAGCTGGACTCTTAATATAATATTCTATCCCTACAGTACCACTCTGTTTTATGGCCTCTCTATAATACTATATATCATCAGCTAGAGTAGACTGGTTACATATGCCATAGCACTTTTATTATAATTTCATCTGCACTTATAGTCCTCTATTAGTCTTCTTTCATAGTCCCACAAATTACTGTTGATTGTGCCAGTGAAGTCCACCTAATGCAGCTTCCTGTGATATTGTGTCAATGATACTGAACTGCTTCTGAATTCTGAGCACCCAAGAGAGTTACCACTCTCATGTAGACTGTGCCTGATTACATTACAATTGGATAAAAACATGTAACAGGGGGGCTTGGCTATCAGCATTGTCAATGCTGATTCAGAAGCTTTTAGCTTGTCAGTCAGCACTGGGGCACACCTATTCCTGCCCATTGCTTTGTAGATTGACATAATTTCCTATGTTGCTAAAACCCTCCCACTGTGCGCTTCACTGTCTGGGGGGACCTTTTGAGACACAAATGAAGGAGCTGGTAAGGTCCCTGTTATGAACAAGTACTATGAAGGTAGAATTTATCTTGAGGCTTAGCACTGAAAATCTTGAATACATGTGTGGACATTTAAAAGTATATCTAGTTGGTGAGTCACCCTACCATAGCACCATTTCTTAAAGGAGAACTATGAGGTGAGTAGAAACATGCACCGATCTGCTCACTTGCCTATTGTCTCCCTGCAGTGAGCGGTGACTGTCAGGGATTCCCCCCTCCCCTCTCTGATCCTCCAGCCCTGAGTGGAGGAACGAACGGGAGAGGGGGCGGACACAGCTGGCTCAGCCTCTAGATAGGCAGAGCCAGCAGTCACTTACGCAGCTAGGTGGATCTCAACAGTATTGTCGGGATCAGTCCCGGCTGCGGAGCTCTCAGTATATTGTGGCCAATAACCCGTGATATACTGAGCTTTGGGTCACGTGAGGAGGTTAGTATATGTCCTCCCATGAACCTAAAGAGAACTATGGGGAAAAACACTTACCCCATAGTTCTCTTTTAATATAAAACACATTAACAATATGGTATATTGTTTGGTATAACCAAGAATATCAGATATTTCCTTGAGCATGTGTTGGGTGTCTATAAGTGGAGGAGCTCAATAAAGGGGTCCTCTCCCAGAAAACCAGCCAAATGATGATGGGTAGTGGGCTATTTTCTCCTAATAGTGCCCCAGAGGGAAGCTAGAAACTTAACGCAAACCTGAAGCGGGAAGAAAAGATTTCAAATGTCAGTAGCATTACAAAGGATGCATCTCTAGACATCTGAATATTAACTAATTTTACCTATTCAGTACACAAGGTGCTCCAAATCATGAAGAGCATTGAAATGCACCAGATTTTGAGGTACCCTAAGCATCACTTACGACTGGTGAGGCCACCTTTTCCAGGAAGTAGGGGCAAAACTAGGCTCTCAACAAGTATATCTGGTCTATATTTGCACTGTAATGCTTCTTAGAACTCTGCGCACCAAGAACACTAAATAAGAAACCTGAGATGCATACCTGCTATGTGCTGCTACTAGCAATGAAGACATTGTTAATGCACTTCAGATTAATTACTGAATAAGGTCAGGTATGTTGCTTTTTCTTCCTCACTGAGCTGTTAAAGGGTCTTTTGGACTCCTTATCATACACATTACTTCTAGAAGAATCTAGATTCAATCAGTCTGGAGCTGGATCTGGGCTAAATCTTAAATTTTTCAGTTGTATTTGCTAATTTCTCTCATTATATGACCTTAAAAATAAGTCAGAGTACCTGGGAGTAATGCACACAGCAGGATACAACCCACAATCTTTTTACAGACAGTGCACCAAGCATTTATGGACACCTCAGATTTTTTATCAACACATTTAGATAAGCTTATTCCAAATGGTCATATATTTTTACGATTTAACATATTAATTAAGTCTGATAACTTATCCATAAACACTTAACTATTTTGTGTGACAGGAGCAAGGCTAGAACAGGCAGCATGGCACTACAGTGCAGCAAAAAAATACACAAAACTGCAGGGCTTGGGTAGAAAATAAACCATAAAAATTGCAGCGAATTAACACTTACTTGACTAGAAAGCTCTTGTTGGGTTAATGCAATACAATCCTTTTTTTTCTACATGGCTGTCCACGAATATTACATTACATCAAACAGTGCTGTTCTGGTTTGCCATTAAGAATATCCCTTACTGAGCCACACAGTAAAAGAATGATGGGCTGATTAACTCACTCTGTGTACTGTTCCCCTCTGCCTATTCCATGATCTGCATAAAGAATGGAAGTGCTGTTTTTACTCCAGGAGATTAGGTGGAGAAAAAGCTGTGTCCTATGGCACAGCACTGATTTGTATTTCACCACACAGGAGTTCAGACAACAAAATGAATAATTGATTTTTATTGTGGCATTACAGCATCATTTTCAAGATTGCTGTACCGCTGGTGATCTATATAGATAAAACATAGCTCTGCTGGACAAATGATAAAATTGGGTGCTTGATACAGCTCACACTGAGCCATCTGTTGTACACATACAGAACAATACTTAAAAGGGCAGGCTGGCAGTCCCCTCAAAACTGATATTTCTGTTATGAATGCATGCAAATGAGCCGAATCAAGTACTACCTTGTCTCTCTCACTGGAACTCCAGCAGTATGCTCTTCCCATTTGACCTTCCAACTTTAAAACACTTTTTATATCTCACTAGAGGGAGTCTCGATCTGCCTGATGAATTATGAATATTGTAAAGGATGAATTCTTTGTCACAGGTGGAGCTGGGCACTCAAATGTTACAACCTCAGTACTGGTGTTCCAGAGGCATGGAAGAGGCTGGTGACTAATTTAATCCACCCAGAGCTTAGTTTTCGGTAGACTTGCCTTTTAATGCTGTGTAAGGTACGAGTTGTCTCTTGCTGACCGGGGTGTTAAACCCCCTTCCTATCCAGGTCATTTTTCACTATTCAGCATGGCGGTACTTTGACATTTATTCCGTCATATAACGCTATACTGAAATTAATTTTTTTCCCCATAATTTGGGGACAGATAGAGCTTTATTTTGGTGGTATTTAATCACTACTGGGGTTTTTATTTTTTACTATTTAATTTAAAAAGTTCAGAATTTTTAAATAAAATGGTTTTCCCTAAGTTATGTTATAAAACATTTATCAGTACCCAATTTTTTGGTAAAATATAAAAGATGGGGTCGCGTCGAGTAAATAGACACCAAACATGTTAAGCTTTAAAATGGCACACGCCCGTGAAATCACAAAAATCATGCCTAAAATTGGCCATAGGTGATACTTTAAAAGCTTTTACTGCTCATCAGTTTAGTGTTATCAGTGACTGATGGCCACAGAATTATTGCACACACCCCCACGCTCGCGGTGATATGCAACATGTGGCACTATCATTGTTTTCATCTGTAGGCGCACCTGGCGCATATTTACGTTTATATGTCGTGCACGCAGGGGCAAATAACTTTTTTTTTATATGTGACTTTAATTTTTTTTTACACATAAATGTGTTGCTATCAAATAGGGGACTAACAAGCCCCCTATGTAATAACAAATATACAATGTCAGCTCCTCTTTATGGAGACATCAGGGGTCTCTAAGACTCCTAATGTCACCTTGGGACCCCCAAGAAAGCTGATGAAGCAGAGCTCTGCTTCAACAGCTTCTTCTCTGGCTATAGCAGCAAGAGAAATGTGTAATACACATCACTTCCACCTTGAGAGAGATAGGAGGAGAGATTAGCAGTAGGAGAATGCTGACCTCTCCTCCATTTACAGAGTACACAGCCACTGTGCTGGGCCTGCAGGGGGGACAGCGGAGCCCAGGATAACTGGCAGTGGCAGAGGGGGGAGTGTGGAGGGCTGTAGAAAATCAATTGTTTACATGCACAGCGGGATTTTCATTGTGCACGCATGCTAGAGGACGTGCATGAGCAGAAATAAAATCACGTACATACACGTCCACCTGCCAGGAAGAGGTCACTGTCCGCCTGTGTATTTACAATGGACAGTAAGTGGAGGACCGCAATATGTACATATATGGCGGGCCACTGAAGTGGGTATACCAAGAACACAGCTGCTGCTTCATCCGTGTTCTTGGTGTCATTTTAAACAGCCGACGATGGCTGTTAAGATACAAGTGATCTAGCGTCTATACAGCTGTCGAATCGTTTGTACTGATCAGAGGAATATGTTACCCTCACCCCCCTCTGCCGCTGGCTTCCTCGATCTCAGCTGTCCCCCATGTGGGCCCGGGACCAGCATAGCGTGTCTCCCCGCAACGATCACAGAGAGATCAGCAGGCTTCTGATCTCTCCTCCGATCACTGGACCTGGAAGTGATGTGTATTATAACACTGTCCGGGTCACTGTTTACATTATCTGGCTCTTAGAGCCAGAAGAAGAAGCTGGGGAAGCAGATCTCTGCTTCCTCAGCTTCTTTTGGGTCCCTACGTGAATTTAGAGGTCTGAAAGAGGATCTGTCACACCCTATCTGCTATCACATAGGGGCCTTATTAGCCCCCAATGTAATAGCAATATAGTTAGTGTAAAAAATGCAAAAAAATTGTTTAAAGTCTCACAACACACCCCCCCCACGTGCATGCACATACGTACACAAACACATGTTGGTGCGCCTATGTGCAAAAACGAAAATTGCGCTACACATGTTACATATCGCTGTGAAAGTCAGAGCGAGTAAAATAATTCTAGAGCCAATAATCAATGTTTACGCTAACCTG